TGTGCGCGCGCGCGCGCGTGTGTGTGTGTGTGTGTGTGTGTGTGTGTGTGTGTGTGTGTGTGCGCGCGCGCGCGCGCGTGTGTGTGTGTGTGTGTGTGTGTGTGTGTGTGTGTGTGCGCGCGCGCGCGCGTGTGTGTGTGTGTGTGTGTGTGTGTGTGTGTGTGTGTGTGCGCGCGCGCGCGCGCGTGTGTGTGTGTGTGTGTGTGTGTGTGTGTGTGTGTGTGCGCGCGCGCGCGCGTGTGTGTGTGTGTGTGTGTGCGTGTGTGTGTGTGTGTGTGTGCGCGCGCGCGCGTGTGTGTGTGTGTGTGTGTGTGTGCGTGTGCCTGTGTGTGCATGCGTGCATTGGCGCGCGTATGTGTAATGTGTGTCATGGCGCCTTGCACGCATCATAGCTATATCACGATCATCGACCGAAGTTCCGGCTTCGTTATACGTATGCTTAATCTGCATTCCAGGAAAACCCGCGCGTCGTATAGATGCTTGCTTGGGTAGTGCCCTTCTCCGATTACAGCGACCTACGCACTTGCTATGGTTGGAATGCCAGCGACAATAAAGGGCGCACAGAGGAATAACGATAACGTGACGTGTGTCGTGCGTTGTCGCGTTGTCTAGACATCGCAGTCAGCCCTGTGACCTTTCACTACTACGAGAAGACGAGCGTGTGTGTGTGCGTGCGTCCGTCCGTCCGTCCGTCCGTCCGTGCGTGTGCGTGCGTGTGTGCGCGTGTTTGTGTACGTGCGTGCGTGTGTGTGCGTGAGTGTGTGCGTGCGTGCGTGTGTGTGCGTGCGCATGTGTGTGCGTGCGTGCGTGTGTGTGCGTGAGTGTGTGCGTGCGTGTGTGCGTGAGTGTGTGTGTGTGTGCGCGTGCGCGTGCGTGTGTGTGTAGAGATCGATGGCGCATGCGCGGTGGTGACGTCGACACGCCGCGTAACCCGCGGAGTCGTGAATCTACTTTCGCTGGGGTCACCGTACGCGTCCGCACGCGCACCCCAGCGCACACAAACCCTAGATACGATAACGTAACCGAGCAAGCAGCGGTACGATTTTCTTAGGGGGTGTGTTATCGTATTCCGCTAACCGGAAGCGTCTGTGAGCCCAGCGCGTTTATTATAGCAGCCAATTGTTTACACGGGTATGATGTTATTTATACTCAGGTCAGGTTATATTGTGTCAGTTCAGGTCTTCTCGTGTGCATATCATATTGACTGGTACTGCGCTACGCTGTTTTATATTTTTATATTTAATGGAATTATTAATTAAATGTTAAATTAATTAATTTAATATTTTGTTTATTTTGTTTTATATTTTATATATAGGCCTATATTGGTTTCTTTCTTCAATCCATTTTACCTGCCTTTCCTATACGTTCCCTGCTAGGGTGATGAGTCCTGCTCATACGTTCACACATCACCCCCCCCCCCATATCCGGATAGTAGCCTACATTATCTTTGAAGCGGAAGGCATGAATGAATGGCGGTGCTAGGAATGGGAGCAAAACGTGTCTTGACATGCTCCGACTATATATATATATATATATATATATATATCCCTACTCACTACACAGTCTAAAGTAGACTCTATACAGTCAAATCTCTCAGTACCGACCCCCCCCCCCCCCCCGGTACGTCTATTTAGTTGGGTTTCTGTAAAGCTCGGTTTATACGGGGATGGTGGGTGGGGGGGGCATCTTACAGTTGTCTCAGATAGCGTTAAATTCCCACAGTACAGTACGAGATTCGGTTTCGAGGCCGTCACGAATTGACGGTTCGGAGCAGTGGCGTGGGATGCAGAACGCTGATACCATCAGAGGGTGGTTTTAATTTTGCTAGTTGTTCATGTCACTAGTACTATTGCCATTTCATTCAGTGATATACGGGAATTACGATTTACGAGTACTTAGGTACAAAAAAACTTGCTAAGATCTGATTGGTCCGCGTACGGAGGAGGTCCAATGCGGGTGACACCATGAGTCACCGCATCGTGTGTCACCAACCCTAGTGACGCCGCTGGTTCGTGGAGTTGACTGTATACAGTATCGCATATATCATTCACTGGATTATATCAAGATCGTATCAGCGGCGAATCCAGGGCTGAAGCTAGACAGTATTTTTCCAGATTTTAAGGGCACAATCCCGCCAACAGGGCACACCACCCCACAGTGGGCGCCCCGCCCCCCGCACCGTTAGGCTGCGGAAGCACTTGGCGGGGTTCTGGGGACTTCCCCGGAAATTTTCAGCGACTGTCGAGGGTCCCGCTGAAGCACAGAAAATGAGCACCATTGAGCACCACATATTAGTCAAGCGCAATAGCTAAAAGCCATATGGAAATTTTATTTCTGCGTTCATTTGCCTTGCGCTTTGCATACCAGTAAAAACCCGCGATAGTAAGCAACATAGATTCTTAAGAACTGTTAGAGCCCTGAAAATTTACCCATTAGACCCCTTGAGATAAGAACCTGTTTTAGGCTAAATTTTAAAGGTAGGTTCTATAATTTTCCATGCAGATGAAGACATTAAAAAGAAACACAAGGTAAAAATAAAAAAGACTGGGCAGACTAACAATAGCGATGAATGGTTGCCAGCACCTTCTTTTTGGCACCGCATAGCGCTTTTTGCATCAATGTTTTGTTTCTTGGATAATACTGTAGTCAGGGATAACAGTATGGTAAAGCACTTAGAAAACTTACATGTAGCCCTCATGGGGTATTAATTAGCAAGAAATTGCCAGTGCCTAATCAAGAAACCCTCTTCATAACACAATTTGAATCAAGTATAAGTCTTATACATATTAAATAGTAGAAACAAGTATAAGAACCTAGTGTTTAAAGACCAACTTTATGACCGCGCCGTAATTTTTCAGTAAAGCACCATTTACATAAGAACATATTGAGGCCTAACATTGGAAAAATCTATGTTCTATTGATCTGCGGCGTTTTTAGGCTGTACCAGAATTAATGCAGAATGATTCAAGCACTTCCTTCTTTTTTAGATATCAAAGCTAAGTTTTGGTACGTACTATGAAAACATTTTGATTTTTCCTTCAATCCTCTCCATCAGACAAAGAAAAGGAAAGGACTGAATGAAAGAATATAGCCAAATTCCATCAAATTGTTTTCTGTATTTTTTTAGCGAAAAATTTCGAAGGGCATTTTGAAATCTAGACCGTATTTCCCAATACGGCAAATACGGTCTGAATCCGCCCCTGCGTATAAAGAAGGGCATATAATAAGGGTATGGATCCTTCTTTATACTCTCTTGATTATATATCACTGGATATATGTACCGTATATCGCGTATATCACTGGATTAACGAGAATAATGTCAGTGATCAGAGGCCAGAACCTGATTATTCTATGCTTCAACAGCTAGAAAAAGTAACTTCAACGAAGTAAACCAGAGAATAGGTTCAGTGAAGTGAATGGTAGGGATGAAATAGTTTGCCTGCGATTTAACAGTTTATAGAATATACGCGTACGCGCCTATCTAGGGATTAAGAGCATCGAAAGGCGGAGTTTTCTGATACATGTAGTCGATAAACTTTAGGTCCTGAACAATTTAGGGTATTGGTGTATTACTCGAGGTGACAGCTCGCTAGTCCGAAGGTTCATTAGTCCGAAGGTTCACTAGTCCGAAACACTCACATGGGATGTAGAATTTTCAGGTGTGTGTGGGGGAGGTGTTGGAGGGAGAGGGGCTTTTAGTATTGCCCGGTTTTGTTACAATTTAAGCATTTTACGGTACCGTCAACTGGGGTAATTTTGAACACGCAATTTGAAAAAAAATGGGTTGAAAAAATTTTGTTTTGATTGGAATGTTGTTTTGAAACCCAAATTGCTATGAAAATGGACAACGGGTTTCAAAATAGGCCCAATTTTTTCTAAACTAGAAGCTGAGTGGGTGGAGAAATGAAGCAGCTGCAGATGATCTAAAATGGTTATACATACATACTTCGTTTTTTGTTAAATAATTATATCAGTGAAAATGTTTAGTTTTCCCTTCGGACCAGTGACCCTTCGGCCTGATGACGGCCTGTAACCATTACTCGAACACATTTGTAATTAAACGTCGTCTAAACATTGATATATGCGGTTTTATCTGATATACATTGAATATCGATGGGTGGATTTATGAATCTGTTTAGCCAGACGCATCGTTCTCGCGCACTTTCACGCTTGTTTGATTTGCGGGTGATCGCTGTGCTTGCGAGCATGATGCAATACGCACGTACGTTTCATCAGCATTGATAAGCTCGTCAGTCACATGGGGTATGTGTGGCATTTTGTGTGCACACGTATGCACACACGTACCCACGTACGCGGGTCCATGCACACACGCACGTACGCACGAGGGTCCATGCACGCACGCACGCACGTACGCGGGTCCATGCACACACGAGGGTCCATGCACGCACGCACGCGGCTCCATGCACACACGCACGCACGCACGCGGGTCCATGCACACGTATGCACACACGTACCTACGTACGCGGGTCCATGCACACACGTACGCACGCACGCACACACACAGACGCATGTACGCAAGCACACAGACGCATGCACGCACGAACGCACTGTAGTTCTTGTAAAATTAATATGGATATTATGGGGATGGAGGGCGTCGTTTCCAGTGGAAAGATAGCGTGAAAGAAGATTGTTCCAATTTAGTTTCATACCATTTAGACCAATTATATGTTTGACAAGTACATAATATAAAAGACAAAAAATCATATTGGTTTAACGGCAGTGTTATTATTATTTAAAAAAATATAATAACATGATACCAATTCCAATGAGAAGTTACATCTCAGAATCGTTACACAAAAATCATGGTGATTGCATGCGTTTACGATCAGGCTTTGTTTAACGATCACAACACACCCAGTTCAGTGGTCACAGGGATACAGAGCTAACATTCAAGATAAATACTCAATGCACGAACATACGATATTATCATATATATATAATATAGTCATATAAAAGATACTTGTTGCGACAAACAGATAGTAAGAAACAACTCTGCACTCATCTCGTAATTATTTCCACATAATCCAGTTCCTAACAGGTGAACTCTCACAGTAAACCACATGCATGTGTCTGATAAATACTCGAATAAATAAGCTTCCCTAGTGATTTATATAAATACTTGAAACCATTTAAAAATCATGTGGCAACTCGTGACGAGTGGCAAAGCAACTGCCAGCTATTAATATTCTTTGCTATAATGTCTTGAGAGGATACTGGTGTTCTATGATTAATCCGCATTGACAAACAACATGATTGACTGACCAAACTCCAGTATAAATGCCACACATCATCCCGTCACTTAGGCACCTACTATACACACACACGTGACGAGGAGAAGTTCGAAGATGGCCAACAACGGACCAAGTACAACCCATGTGGGACTGATGAAGGCCAGTTCAGTCTCTTAAACGCACAGTGCAATGACGAATTGTATCAGTATGCGCTTAGGTAACACCGCGTAGCAACAATTATCGATTGTGTCAGCACGCAAATCGAAACGACATGTCACTTCTGTCAAGTATAAAACCCGATGTCGAAACAAGACCAGGGCGAGTTCAGCGGTGACCACCAGGTGGCGCCGTGCTGCCATTGTTCGTTGTCGCCGCGAGGCGGAGCGTGGTCTCACCGCGCCGACGCGCCGTCTTTGACCGCCACGCTGAAGAGTTGCTTCAGCATGTCCAGCTCCTTGGTGAGCTGGTCCACCTTGGTCTGCAGCGAGTGGTTGTGCGCGGCCAGCTCCTGCACCCGCCGCCCCATCGCCACGTTGTGCTGCTTCGACTTCTGCCGTGACTTGCGCACGGCGAGATTGTTGCGCTCGCGTCGCTCCACGTACTGCACCGAGCCCTTGGGCGCCGCCCGCTTCTTACTAGCGGACTTCTTGCCTCCAGCCGCAGGTGCGGGGCCGGGCGTGGCCGCCGCGGTGCCGGGCGTGGCCGCCGCGAGGCCGGGCGTGGCAGCGACGGGGCCGGGCGTGGCGGCGGCTCTAGGGGGGCTGCATGACGATGATGAAGCCCCGCTGGTGTAGTAGCTGTGCTCTGTGTCGACGAAACTTTTCCATCGTTGCTGAGTGGAAAAATCCGTTGGTTCCACCTGAAGAGGGAGAGAGGGACGGTTAATCTTACAATCAAACCCTGAATTTTTATGACTGGCTTTGGAGTAAATTAGGATTACTAATTAGGATAGGGCAATAATAATAATAACCCATAGTTTATGGTTCCTAAAGGAGGAGTAAGCAAGTAGCTTCTGAGGCAAGGAGGGAGGGGGGAAGGAGTGGAGGCAGTGAATATGAATAAGTACACCTGTGGTGTTAGAATACATGCTACACAGCTGTATGCAGTATAACCATGCAGCCGTTCTAGTACCCATTGAATGCTACCAGGTTTGAACCTGTATGCATCATGTCAAGAAATAATATTAGAAACAGGGTTTTCCGAAAGCCATGAACGACATTTTATTTTTGACAATCTGCACAGTCTTGCTGTTTTTTCACATCTTGATGTATACATCTCCAAATTGATTGAGTTTGCCTGTGAATCTGGGCAGCTCATGACATATATTCAGTGCTCGAAATAAGCGTTGTCCGGTTGTCCGAGACAACCAGAATTTGCGCCGGACAACCTAACCAGTCTGAGACATTGTCCGGTGGACAACCAAAAAACCCTATCTCAAACCCTTACACTAACTCAATCCCATGCAACCAACTGGTATAGGCTAGCTAGCACAATAATGTTCAGTTTCATACTTCAAATCCGAGTGTTTTCTAGCTCTTCAAGAAATCTTAATCGTGAATTAAATCGTGAATAATATAAAAATATGGGACCAGCTGCTATTTCCAACACTGGTATAATATCAGGAGTAAGATAATATAGAGGAGTATGACTGTCCAAAACATGTGAAATTCAACATTTGCTTGCCTAATTTTACCGATGATATATTACGTGCAACTCGATAAAAATTACATCTAAATGAGCGTTGGACATCCGTCTCTAACTAAAACTTTACTTTGTTTAAATACCTCTTGCCTTTACGGAGATATAGCTTTGAACGTCACACATGGTTCATAGTGTTTAACTAAGCTGGCGGCTCAGATTGCCCAACTAACTTCCGAACAGTGGCTAGCCTGTGAGGAATGGTCTTGTCTGTTGACAAGAATGCCACCTGTTGGCGGCAGGAGTAAGATAATATATGACATTATATAATATAAGATAATATAGTATATGTGTGTATATATATTAGTGTGTATATATGTGTGTATATATATAACGTGTATTATATTATATATATAAGGCATAATATATATAGTTGTATGATATAATATAGAATATAATATCGAAGTCTATATTATCTTACTCCTGCCGCCAACAGGTGCATTCTGTCAACAGACAAGACGCATTCCTCACAGGCTAGCCACTGTTCGGATGTTAGTGGGGCAATCTGAGCGCGCCAGCTTAGTTAAACACTATGAACCATGTGTGACGTTCAAAGCTATATCTCCGTAAAGGCAAGAGTGTATTTAAACAAAGTAAAGTTTTAGTTAAGACGGATGTCCAACGCTCATTTGATGTAATTTTTATCGAGTTGCACGTAATATATCATTGGTAAAATTAGCAAGCAAATGTTGATTTCACATGTTTTGGACAGTCATACTCCTCATATTATCTCTCCTGATAATATCATATGTCAGGTTTTCTGATTTATGAAAGGTGAACTCGATTTGGAACCAGCAAACCAGCAAGTTTCCAAAATTTTCTGGGGAGGACCCCCATACCCCCCTGTTTTTCACCCCCCTCCTTGGAATCCTAGACCCGCCACTGAACAATACATATTTTGGGAGCAGAAAAAATGAACAAAAATGTCGCCTTTTCGCATGGCGCCCAAAACAAAGATTGCAGAGCTGAGAGGTAGGGGAGCCGTAGGGTGTGGGAGGGAGCGGAGGAGCCAGTGAAATATTAAGTCATCACTATTTTGCGCAGTTCGCTGTTTTTGGCCCCCCTTGTTAAAAATCCTGCTACGCCACTGTTTTTGGGTGTTTTCTGATTATATTATTATGTGATTGAAAATAGGAGATTTGGGGATTTTTTTTGGGACAACCAGAAATTGTTGCGGACAACCCGATTTGATGCCGGGGTTGTCCGCAGGACAACCAAATTTTTTTTCTTATTTCGAGCACTGAATTATTATATACTCCAATTGTTACAAGCCTTATAATCTGTCCATAAACAACATGCCTTCTTAGATTCCCAGGGAAAAATTAACCCAGATGTTTTAAACCTTTGCAGCACTGCCTATGATTTACAAGTTAATTGCCAATAGGCGGAGCTCAGTTAACATGAGCCACAAGCAAAGCTCACAGTACTGAGATTTATTGTTTTGATAAGGAATGAGGTGCACATACCTTGATAGTAGGCAGGTCAATGAATTCTCTAGCCACTGTCACCAGAGCGACTGGTGTGGGAACAGGGGGAGCAGCACCGCCAAAGTAAAACCCTTCCAGTAGCTCATCAACGGCTGGTGTGGATTGGCCATCTAGAAAGCTGCACACAAAAAAATAGGCATAAGATTACCTAGCATTACCATTACCTCATGCAACATAGCAGAGGTGGTGCCAGTGATTTCTTAACACAGGGGCTAAAGTCCCTGATGTGGTGTGGTGGGAGAGGTTATACTCAGATTGCCAGTAGCAAGCCAAAAGCTATCCAATTTCTAGGTGATCCTTTTTTTTCAAAATTCAACAGTTTGAAATGGCATCTTCAGGGGGTTAGCATAAATTAATTGCTATATTGTAATATATATAATAAATTTACAGATAAATTGGTTCCCGCCGATTGTCTTCATTGAATAGGTACTGCGACTAGTTGCACTACAGTACAGGTGATGGAGAACTCTAGCCCTTCGCTCTGTCTGGAGCTAAATTAAGCTAGGTAAGGAAGAACTCTAGAACTATAGCCCTTCGCTCTGTCTGAAGCTAAGCTAAGTGAGGAAGAACTCTAGAACTATAGCCCTTTGCTCTGTCTGGAGCTAAGCTAGGTGAGGGATAGCTCTAGTACTATAGCCCGCGTACATTGACTGCCGCAGTTAATGTACGCGGGCTATAGTACTAGAGCTAGGTGAGGAAGAGCTGCAAGTCCCTGCCTGAAAAGTAGCTCTAATTTTCCGAAAACGTTCCGGCAGTACCCTGGGGGACATAGACCCTCTCAGCCTAACCGTGTACGGTGTAGCACCTCACATGACCCCTGAGGAAGAATATATATGTGCCTTTGTTGGACGTTGGAGCACAGCCAAATGCCTGTGTACATGGGAGGCCAACTTAGCTAAGATCCTGTATCACGAAGGAGACTGTGTATTCTTTCTTCACACTCATCGTCGAATGAGTGAAAATTAAGCAAATAAAATCCGACAGCATAAGTATAATATACTGCCTACAGTGTGACTGTATACTAGTCTATGGGCGGATCCAGAAGTCCAGGGGGTCCGGACCCCTCCCTTTTTTACCCCCAAAAAAGAGAAAAAATGGAAAACACATAAAAGATACTTTTCTGCTTAAAAAATTGGAATTCCATCTTGCATTCTAGACATCAAAATTACTGCTCAGATCCTCTCAGAATACACCAATTTTTAAAAATTTACCCCAAACACCCCCCCCCCCCTAAGTGGCAACGTGCCTTAGACACGTCGCATAAGCTGCCTTCGGCACCTTTTTAAAACACCAGAAAAATTAAGCATGAAAAAGTGCCCTTTTTTCAAAAAGCTGGATCCACCCATCGACTAGGATGCAACTTGAACTTGCAACAAATCGGTTTTCTTACCTGCTCAGATCAAGCGATGGCTCAGCCGGACCGAGCCCAAACCCGATGTCGTCAATGCGAGTTGTCAACGACGCTGTCGCTGGTTTCGTCTCGTTCTTGTCGTATGTGCCGTCATTGCCGTACAATGTGAGATCAGCCATCGAGTGCATGTCGACACATGCCGGCTCGGACGCATCAAGCTGATCGCAAAAACTGCTTGTAAATTCCTCCGTGATAACGGTGGTCTGATCCGACCAATTCGCTGTCGAATACAGTGTGGCGTTTGAGCTACTAATGATGTAGTAAACTTGATTCGGTTGTCTTTTTTCTCGCTGCCGCGTTTTCGACGACTGACTTCTAGGATTGCGAACCACACGATGTTGCTGCTGCTACGAACGTACGACAAATGATCGCGTTGGACAGAAGTGGCTGATGACGTCTTTGGCGCGCGCGTCACTGACGTCATTGATCACGTGGTTGCGAATAAACGTGTTCGTCACTACATTTTCTGCTCACTTGAATGCGATTTGTTGGTTGTCATTTAGTTCCACGTGGCTCTAGAATATTCTAGAACAGGGCGTATAGTTGTAGTTGGCAGGGGAGACCTTTAGTTTTGTGCCACGTTGCTCAGTGGCAAAATAATCACATGATAACATTCTTCACGTGAGTTCAGGCATGACTTATTTTCGTACATGACGTCAACACTGCGCGTTCTGATTGGTTAACAAAAATCGCTGTGTCATCGCCTGTAAGCTATTTTTATCAATGACATCATGCGCAGTCAGCGGCAGCTTACGAGACAGCTGAGCAGCGCGGCGTGGCTGACCAAGGCTTTGGTGGGCGGGAGCTCGCAGTATAACAAATATAACATGAATATTTGTCTCCTATGCGTTCATTTTGCGCAGATAATTTTACACGATCATATTGCCCGTGTAAATGAGTATTCGATGGAAGATGCATGCATGTACACACACTGTCACCTAACCCAACCAGGCTGTCAATATACAACGGTTCCCTAAGTAACCCTAGCAAGGACTGTTTCTTGGAGCTATAACTGTCACCATGCAGCATCACGCGCCGCGTTTCGCTTCACAGACCTCACAGCACACACGCACGCACGTACGTTTCCTAGCGGAACTCGCATGAGCTTTAGCCCAGTGTTGATGTGTGGCGTGGTGGGAGTGGCAGTAGTTTACTGCATGCGTGCATGGGTGTGGTGGTGACGACATGCAAATATATCAGAAGTAGATAATAAGGAAGTAGATAATAGGAACCCTATTATGCTATTATCTACTTCTGATATATATATTATCAAATATACGTACACGCGACGACGCAAACATCCCCCGGGCATCCTAAGCGAGACGTCACAATCCCGTACGTTGCTGCCAGCCGCCTGTACGATGCTTTACAGTGGCTTTACAGTGGCTTTACAGACCCGATCTGGTCGACCATTACCGGATTACCAATAGTAGCCAAATGTAGCAAAAGTAGCATTTGCTACGGGCCCGGCGGTTTTACGGGGCTCATAATGCCATGAACTATTCTAATAGTTCAATTTTTTTTACCAAAAAAATAAATTATTTTAACACACACGTAAACTTGATGCAATAATAAGTGCTGACATGGTTGTTTTGCTAGTAAGTCTATAACAAGTGTATTAAACGCTGCGTCAGCATAGTACACTATTTTATTTTTGATAAATCTTGTGTTGTAAGATTTTTACACATGTTTACACAGAGCCATGGTTCAGTACAGAATAAATTAGCATGTATAGACTGCGCATGCTCAGTTTAGCGCGTTATGTCACGTAGCAAAAGGTTAATGGTGTATTTGTATTCCTTCGTCAGTTACAGACGTTTGCACGTGAATAGGTTGTAAAGAGGACAGCGAATCTTATCAAATCAATTCTGGAAGATCTGGAAGAACGCCTTTAATAGTGAAGAATTTGTGCAGTTTACTGAAAACTGGTTTACTGCATATTTAGATTTACTGTTTGATAACTGACAGTTCTTTGGAGTCTTGTTTGACAAATGTAGAAATTACCTTGCGCATCTATTTGTCGTTCGTGGTTACTAACCGAATGCAGTAGACAGCGCTCATTTTCAAAACTGAAGAGAATTAAAAATGAATTATAAGGAGCATCATGGGTCAAATTATTGAACAATCTTACTAGTACGCTATAATGAGCATTGAACATACCCTTCTGTGTGGAGTAGACATTTCCAGTACCATCAACAAATTTGCTAGGGCTAAATCTAGAAAATGTAACTTTTAAATTGTAGTTTTAGTACTTTTGACTTCTGAAACTGATATGACTACAAGTAAATATTACTATTACTGAAATGGCAGACATATTTGTCGTATTGTAGACGGTATAGCAAATGAAAAATACGATTGTTTTACTATAATTATGCAAGTTAAAGTTTACGTGTTTTAATATTTATGTGTTTTTTTAATTTATGCTCTCTTCATAACATATGCTACAGGCCCAGCACTAGCCTAGTCGGGCCTTGTGGTCGATATCACAACCCTAGTCACGAGCGAACGCGCCACAGAAATGTATAGGACATGCGTTTAACATGGCTATAATAGTTCCATATAAAAAAGTATATAACTAGCAAGATATATAAAGTCTCTGGTACGCGCTATATCGCTTACTACAGCTGTTGATATAGAATACAGATGGACTTTGGTCGATGATATGAGAGAGCGTGATCTCGTGACTGCTGTTGGGTCGGTCCACATATTATATCAGTGCACTTGTAGATGTGACGCAGGTCGGTGTTGAGTGTATGGCATGAGTAGCACATATATGAATTATTCAGACACACGTGTGTGAGTAAGAAAGGTTATATTGACCTAATACCTGGATGTGCGAGATTTTGGAGGGCCCGTTAGCGGATGAAAGCTACTGAAGAATACTGAAAGCAGGCATACCCAAGAAACACTATAATAGATATGCTGGAATAGAAGTTATATGTATTCAAACCACACACATACACACATGCACACACACACTCACGCACGCACGCACGCACGCACGCACGCACG